CGACTTCGCCTTCGTCTTCTTCTCCTTCTCCTTCTTCTTCGACTTCGTCTTCTTCTTTGACTTCGTCTTCTTCTTTTTCGTTTTCGCCTTCTTCTTCTTCTCGATTTTGATTTTTTTTCCTTTTCTTATTTTAAGACTTGGGTAAGACTGAAAATATTTATTGGAATTCTTATGAAGCAATGTTGCAGGCAAGGGAGTTGGGGTGTGTGGAGGGGGTGATGGAGGAGGGGGAGGGAGGGAGGGAAGATGGAGGAAGGATGAGGGGGGAGGGAGCAAGAATCTATTGCGAGACGACCCCCCCCCCCAACCCCGCCTCACACACCCCACCCTTTGCAATTCGCCCGTAAACCGTTTTAATATTTCTGGAATAACACGAAAACCTGAAGGACTTCCCTCATTATGGAATGCTGTTTATTTTCCCGTATTTTTTTCCCCTTTTATATCTTTCTCTTTTTTTTTTACAGTTTTCAATTTGCAATACGTCTGTCCATGCGACAGGCAAAGACCCAGGAGAGCGGGACAGGCAGGGAGGAGTTCGGCGAAAAACGTCCAATTTAAAATATGATCCAATCTAGTTGCCTTGATTTTATGTGGCACCCCCCCCCCCTTCAGATCGGACTATACACACATACAACAAAATCAAATATACAAAAACCATTTCGGAGCTTTTGTTAGCAGATATTATTTCATTACAAATACTTGAGTTCAGGATCGCCCTCAAATGTGGCGAAGCAGATCCCAAGATTCTTTGATGGTGATGCAGATAACCAGCGCTCGGGAAGTGATATCGAGGGGCAATTTGTAGCTTCTGTTCGCTTCTTTCTGGGTCTGTGTGTATTGTTTTCTATATACTGTGTATTTGGAGAAGATTAGAATTATATATATATATATATATATATATATATATATATTATATATATATATATATTATATATATATATATATATATATATATTATATATATATATATATATATATTATATATATATATATATTATATATATATATATATATATATATATATATATATATTATATATATATATATTATATATATATATATATATTATATATATATATATATATTATATATATATATATTATATATATATATATTATATATATATATATATATATTATATATATATATATATTATATATATATATATTATATATATATATATATATATTATATATATATATATATATTATATATATATATATTATATATATATATATTATATATATATATATATATATATATATATATTATATATATATATATATATATATATATATATATATTATATATATATATATTATATATATATATATATTATATATATATATATATATTCATAGATAAATAGATAGATAGATAGATAGATAGATAGATAGATAGATAGATAGATAGATAGATAGATAGATAGATAGATAGATAGATAGATAGATAGATAGAGAGAGAGAGAGAGAGAGAGAGAGAGAGAGAGAGAGAGAGAGAGAGAGAGAGAGAGAGAGAGCGACTGCGGTGGGGGGTAAGAGATAACACAGAGTTTGTATAACTGGGCGTGGTTGTGTGAGCCTGTATATATATATAAGATGGGTGTGGTTACCCATGTGTTATTGCGTATCTGTATCTCGGCGTACCTCCGCACAAGCAAAAAAAATGCAAATATTGAAGTGCAAATATAATTAAAACATAATTAGATTTCGAAGAATGAACGATAACACATACGCGCGCTAGTACTCAATCACACGCACACACACACACATACACACATCCCTCCCTCCTTCCTTCCTTCCTTCTTCGACAGAGTATCCACTATTCCTTATCAACAAGAATCTATTGCGAGACGACCCCCCCCCCAACCCCGCCTCACACACCCCACCCTTTCCAATTCGCCCGTAAACCGTTTTAATATTTCTGGAATAACACGAAAACCTGAAGGACTTCCCTTCATTATGGAATGCTGTTTATTTTCCCGTATTTTTTTTCCCCTTTTATATCTTTCTCTTTTTTTTTACAGTTTTCAATTTGCAATACGTCTGTCCATGCGACAGGCAAAGACCCCAGGAGAGCGGGACAGGCAGGGAGGAGTTCGGCGAAAAACGTCCAATTTAAAATATGATCCAATCTAGTTGCCTTGATTTTATGTGGCACCCCCCCCCCCCCTCTCTTTGTATATATATTTTTTTCTTCTTCTTTTCTATTACGGAGTATTGGGTGTCGGATTCCCACGCATTCTCTGCTCTCTAAGTTTGAGGAGAACACTAATAAAACGCTGTGATTTTACTTGCACCCCCCTCCCCCCTCAAGATCAGACTATACACACATACAACAAAATCAAATATACAAAAACCATTTCGGAGCTTTTGTTAGCAGATATTATTTCATTACAAATACTTGAGCTCAGGATCGCCCTCAAATGTGGCGAAGCAGATCCCAAGATTCTTTGATGTTGATGCAGATAACCAGCGCTCGGGAAGTGATATCGAGGGGCAATTTGTAGCTTCTGTTCGTTTCTTTCTGTGTGTATTGTTTTCTATATACTGTGTATTTGGATAAGATTAGAATTATATATATATATATATATATATATATATATATATATATATATATATATATATATATTCATAGATAAATAGATAGATAGATAGATAGAGAGAGAGAGAAAGAGTAAGAGAGCGAGAGCGAGAGAGAGAGAGAGAAAGAGAAAGAGAGAGGGACATAAAGACAAACAAATAGACAGACAGACAAACAGACAGATACAGAGGGAGAAAACGAGAACAAGAGAAAGAGAGTAAACGAAAGAAAATAGAAGAACAGAGAGAACAAAGACAGATACACACCCAACAGCCATAAACCAACAGACACACAAAGCCAAAAACAAGCGAAAAACAGAACACACACACACAATCCTCGGCCACGCCAGGAGCCACAGCGCGATGCCCAAAGGGGGCCGCAATCAATCTCCAATCTGCAATCTGATTTTCGCCGATATGCAACGGAGGCGCACCTGTGCATGTTGCTCAATGGAGTCGAGGGCCTTTTTTATCAATGGCCGAGCAACAGAGCAGCGTACTAATAGGGCCATGCTCGCTTTGAAGTCTGTTCTGGAAGCGCAACAGGTTGGGTGGACCTGCGTGCGCGCGAGAACTGATAAAGACAATATATGTATTCAACGCATTGGTCTTTCTCCTCTGCTTCCGACGCGATAGGCATGGATTGCCCTGCGCTTCGGCCGCCCGCGCATGAAATACTAGGGTAAAGAAGAGGGGGGGGTGCTTCGAGGCAGAGAGAAGCGTAACAGGTGTGGAAGAGGAGGAGGGTGATAAAGAGGGATGAAGGGGAAGGGGAAGAGGAAGATGTAAGAAGAGATGGGTAAAAGAAGTGGAATACGACAGAAGAGGGATAAGGATGTAAAGATGATTGGAGAAGGAGGAGATAAAGAGAAGAAAACAGGGATAATAGGGAAAAGGAAGAGAAGATGAATACAAAAATAATACAATGAGGGAAAAAGGGAAAAAAATAGGAAAACAACGTAGAGAAGAAGAGGAGGACGCAAAAGAAAAAGATGGAGAAGGAGAAAAGAACGAAAGCGAAGACGAAGAAGAGCAAGTAGAATGAGTGAAAAAAAAACACGAGAATATTAAGAAGAAAGTAAAAGGAAGGATGGTAAAAATGACAAGAAGAAAGAAGAAGACAAAGACGAATCGAAAAAGAAGATAAAATCGAGAGAAAGCAAACTCCAATCAGCAAAGTAAACCCTCGGGAATAAAGCAGCTCAGGAAGCGGCCATCGCAGAGCCGGTCGCCAAAACACCAGCCGGATATATGTGCTTGTGGCAGGATAAAGCAAGAACAGGCGAGCGATTCAGTCCTCCGTCCGAGCCGCGAGCCGAGGCAGGTGTGAACAGGGAACAGATCTTGCCCGACAAGAAAGGCAGGATCGTGGTGCAAGATCATCGTTGCAGGAGCGCGTTGCAAGAGCATCATTATCAATCATTACCATTGGCGAGGTTATTAACGGGCCGAGTGATGGTCGGTGTTTACTCAGTTGCGGGAACTTGTGATTCTTTGCTATTTTATGACATCTGATCATTCATTCGTCTTGAAAGTAGTTTTGGAAACGCATTCCTGAGGGCGGTCGAGTGTTGATCCGGAGGGGCGCCTTGAATGAGCCACTGTAGCCAGGGGATTGTCATTCATACTGCATATAATTCCTTTTAATTTTAGATCGAATGTCGACATACGTTCCGCGCGATTCGGTTAAGATAAGGTTTGCCTCGAGTTTGGCTTTTTTCAACGATTGGAAAATGAAAGAAAACTCTGGGAGTATATTAGAGAATATATCTATTTTGAAGAATGTCATGAAAATCGGAAAATTGAGGAAGTCTTTGAATGTATTTTAAGGAAAATCTCTTTTAAAAAGTCTCCACACATGGTTATTGTTAAAAGTTTTAAGTCAACAGAGCACAAATTCGGAAAACGCAACAAAGCCAAAAGTTCTCTTAACTTCGTGGCCGTGACCACTTCCAGGTGATGTAGTTGACGTGAGTATTATATATATTTCTTTTAGAATGTGGCCTCACACTGCTGTTGGTTCCGATGAAATCCATTGTAATTTTGGGCAGTTTATCCGTAATAGCAACAACGTGCAATCGCTTTTAGCAAGATCAGGTGAGGGAACCTAGCGCTCACCTTTCCCCAGGGGAGTGTTGCAACTCCTGTTCACCTTCTCATTGAAGCGCCTCATTCTCCTAAGGCTGTGAGAGCACACTTATTGCAACTCTGAATTGCACCTGAAGTCGCCATTCACGAAGGTAAATTTACTGCGGGATGCTTTTTCACTTCTCAGTTGAAGAACTTTTCATTTTCCTTCGGGTAAACACGGCGAGAATCCTATTTTCGTTTTCAGCTTCTTTGAAAATGCAAGGGGGGGGGATGTCTTATTCTTTTTTCTATTTCTTAAGGGAAGATTGGGTGGTTTGAGTCACTTACCTGTACTATGTTGATGGATGTTCTTGCTTGCAGCTGGTTTTCCAACAATTTTCGTAATGAGGTAAAAGCTAAGTCCTCATTAGAAAAAGTTCACCACACACAAAAAAATAAATTCGCACACTTCTAGCTTAAATCGAGTGCGAGTGTCTGTCTAAAACTCTATACTATGAGAGAAAAATCGCACTTTGTTCGTATCTCTGAGAGAGTAAAGTGAAAACGGGAAACTGAACTCGAAAGAACACACACACACACGCTAACGAGGCTCCGGGAGCGCGCGAAGCAACAACCTCCCTCAACAGCGGCTGAGGTATGACTGGCTCCCCAAGTGGCCGTGTCTGGTGACTCGGGTCATCTCTCGCCAGCACCTCGGGCGCGAGAGGATGCCGGCTGCCGATTTATGGCCCTGTTTGGCTTGGCGGCGATCCGATTGTCATTATTGCGCGATGGATGAGAGTGTCCTGTCGCTCTCTCTCGCTCTCTTGCTCTCAAATCTATACCTCTATATATCTATCAATCTCTCTCTCGCACGTTGTCTATATTACTGTCTCTCTACTTCAATTATTGCAGGCTTCTCTCTCTCTCTCTCTCTCTCTCTCTCTCTCTCTCTCTCTCTCTCTCTCTCTCTCTCTCTCTCTCTCTCTCTCTCTCTCTCTCTCTCTCGCTCTCTCGCTCTCTCTCTCCTTTGCGTGTTGGCGTCAGCATATGCGGAGGTGGAGCGTCAGAGCTGATGAATGAGAAAGTCTGACGGAACCAGAAGCGGCAGCGGACCGGCTGGGAAGTCCGTTAGATGTCGCTGGGTTGAGTTCGTCTTGAAAAGAAAGAAATTTTATATGATAACATGACTAAAATTAAGACAGAAAGGCGTCCTATCTACAGCTCCTTGTTTGATGACAATGCTGAAATAATGTTTATTTCTAATAAAGAGAAAACCGATTTTTCTCTGTACCTGTTCAACCTCACAAAAGTCCACATTGCTTTCCTTTATTGTGTCTTGGAACAGGGTTAAGGAGAAAAAAGAAAGAAAGAAAGAAAAAAAAACGCCATGCTAAGTCCGCACTTCATTTGCATGAAAACGTCTGGTTTGAGGTGTTATTGCAACCTCTTTTCGAAGGTCCATGGGCGGCGGTCACGAATGGGGCGGCTAGAGAGGCGTAGCACCTCAACGAATGCTCCTTGAAGACGGTAACAATGTCTTAGGAGAGAAAGGGAGGAGGCAGGAGGGAGACGTAGCAATGTTCTCTCACACGATGAAGACGAGGAGCGACGTCGAGAAAGGAGAGGGAGAGAAGAGGAAGAACGTCTTATAAGATGAAGGCAAGTGTCTCGCAGGCAGAAGGTACAGAGACACCGGAGATAATTATCGAAGTCTCCCAAAACGAGTCTGCGAAGAGAGAAAAAAAAATGGCCCACGACTTTAACAAAAATTTAGCGGATAAGTCGAAACTAATTCTAACAAGAACAACCCCTCCCCCACCCTCACCCCTCCCCACCCCATCCGCTACACTTCGCTCTTACTTTAATTTCCAAAATCAACGACACCCCCCCATGCCCCCCTTATCCCCACCCACCTACCCCCTACCCCCTTCCCCCCTCCGACGAGAGCGCAAAGGCTTTCCGTTGTGGCGAATTGCGTCACAACCCGCGCAATACGCCACAACGGAAGGACGCGAAGCCAGAAAGGTTCGTCGAGGAAGCGGAAGATGCACTCACGTGTCTTCAGGGCGGCAGTGAAGCAATCAGGGCGTCGTCGGGAGTGTGATAAACTCTCTCGGCTTGTGTAATGTACCGATGACGTGACGTTGATGGGGGGGGGGAGGTTAAGGCGCGGGTGTATAAATGTATGTAGGAAAGGGTATGAAAGAGAATAGATCAGTGCATAGCCCATGAGACGTAGTTGATGCGATGGTAATTATTTTTTTTCTTTTTTCTTTTTTTTCTAAGGAAAAATTAACGAATATATTGATTAATGACGATTACTTCGTCCTTTGTCTTTCATACCTTTCTACCTCTCCTCCCCTCCACCTCATATTCTCCCTTCCCCTTCTACTCCCTTCCCCTCCACCTCTCCTCCTCCCCTCCCCTCCAATCCCCTCCCCTCCACCTCTCCTCTTCCCTCCTCCTCCCCTCCACCTCTCCACCTCTCCTCTTCCCTTCCCCTCCCCTCCCCTCCACCTCTCCTCTTCCCCTCCACCTCTCCTCCTCCCCCCCCTCCCCTCCCCTCCACCTCTCCTCCTCCCCTCCCCTCCACCCTCCTCCCCTCTTCCCCCACCGCCCTCAAAATCTTCAGCTCTTGAGGGAGAAAAATGCCATCTAGAAGAGACTCCAGCAGAGGAATTATCGCTCGTGAGAAGTAGTCCTCAAAACTACTTTCTGGCGTCACATCAGACCTTCCAAAGGCCATCTCGAGAGGTTTCAAGGGGCGGGACAAGCGCCGCGCCCTTGACAAAACACCAAGTTCTTTTTAAAGCTTAGAAATTATTATTGGGATCTGGCGAGTGCTCTTCGGGCCTCACTTGAAGGGCCGGTTCTTGCGCGATGTCACCTCTGGACACGTCCCCCCCTGCCTCCCCCCTCCCCTCCCTCCGATCTGTTTTATCTTCCGTCTCTTTCTCTCTTCTTTATTATCTTCCGCCTACCCTACTTCTTCGTTGGATCTTCTTCCTCTCCCCCTTTTCTATTGTCTTTTTTCTTATTCTCTTTTTTTTATATGATTCTTTCTCTTTATTTTTCTTATCGTCTCTTCTCTCTTTCTCTGTATCTTTCTTATCGTCTATTCTCTTTCTCTCTCATTCTCTCTTCCTCTCTCTCTCTCTCTCTCTCTCTCTCTCTCTCTCTCTCTCTCTCTCTCTCTCTCTCTCTCTCTCTCTCTCTCTCTCTCTCTCTTTCACTCACTCTCTTAACTTCCCTCCTCCCCCCCCTTTCTAATCTTCCCCTTAACCCACCTTCTATCCCCGCCCCCTTCTCTCCCCCCCCCCTACTTCTCCACATTCCCCCCTTACTTAACTCGCCCTTATCTTTCTATATTACCCTTTCCCTATCTCTCCCTTTCTCTCCTCCTACTCATCTCTATTCCCGTCTATCCACCTCCTTTACCTTATCCATCCCTCTTTTCCTTTACTCCCCTCCCTCCCCTCCCCCTTCACCCCCTTCCTCGCCTTACCCCTCCCCCTCCCCCTTGCCCTCCATCCCGTCCCTCTCCTTCCCTCCCCTTCCCTCACTTGATCCAACCCCTCCCCTTTCCTTCACCTTACCCCTCCCAGTCCCCTCCCCCTCCACCTCTCTACCCATTTCCCCTTCCCTTCCCCCCCCCCGTCCCCCCACCCCGTTCTGTATCTTCAGGTGTCAGCAGCGTGTGGACACAGCGGAATTCGAAAGAAGGGGATTTAGACGTCTTCCTCCTCCTTCCTCTCCCCCTCCCCCTCCCCTTCCCCTTCCCCTTCCCCTTCCCCTTTCCCCACCCTTCCCTTTCTCTCTGCTTCCCCCGTCCTGTCTCCCTCCCTTTCTCTCTACTTCCCCGCCCTGTCTCCCTCTTTCATTGCTCCTCCCCGCTCACACTTCTTTTCTCTCTGTGTCCTCTATCTCCTCCCCTGCCCTGCAATCTCTCTCCCTCCCCCTCTCCTCAGCCTGCCCCACACACTCTCTCTCTCCTCCCGTCTCCCTCTCCCTCTACCCTCCCCTCAACCTCCCCCTCACTCGCTCTCCCTCTCCCCCTTCTACCCCACAATCCCCTTCTTCCCTCCTCTCCCCACCCATTCCTCTCTCCCCTCTCTCCTCCTCCCTCCCTCTCCCCTCTCCCTCTCTCCCCGCCCCCTCTCCGTCTTCCTGTAGGCAGCTCAGTCGCAGCTTACCAAGGCGGGATTGGAAGAGGAAGGGGGAGGGGGAGGAGGAATGGGGGGAAGGCAAGTCAACCCAAATATAGAACGAGGCGATGTTATGATAGCAAACACATATCAGGAAGAACCTTAGCGAGGGGATTTTTAAATATCAATTGAGAAAACTTTTTTTTTTTTAATCGGATGTCATTTGGTTCTCGTTATTTGCAGAGAGAGAGAGAGAGAGAGAGAGAGAGGGGGGGGGGAGAGGGGGAGAGAGAGGGAGAGAGAGAGAAAGAAAGAGAGAGAGAGAGGGAGGGGGGGTTGTGGGCTTAAAAGAAAGGAAAATTGAATCGTCTTGGGACAGATTTAGATGAAGGATCAAAGATAATATTTGTAGACAGATGATTTCGCCTTTTTTGTAACTGATGATTCTAAATCTGGGTGTATGTTTTGCTTCACACTATGGGCGGAGAGCGTATGGTAATGTCCACTCTATAAGGGCCTTGTAATTAATCTCCACAGTTGCGCACACACGCACTAACGCACACGCACACACACACACACACACACACACACACACACACACACACACACACACACACACACACACACACAAATACGAACATGCACGCAATATAGACCGAATTAAATCTATATATTAAAATTATTATTCTACATGTATTGTATACCTAGAGACAAGCAAAACTATTCATATTTTAAAAAAGAGAACAAAAAGAAATAAAACAAAATATAAAGGAATGACATACAACTGTAATACGAAAAAATACGCTTAGTCTTACATTTTCTCCGCTTAAAAGTAACAAGACAAAAACAAAGAAAAAACAAAAATAAAAAATGCGCTAATTTCTTCCTAGCTTTCTCTCTCTCACTGTCTATGTCTATCAATCTATCTATCTATTTATCCATATATCAATCTTTCTATCTATCTCAATCTCTTCTTTTTGTCTTCCTTTTCTTCTTCCCTTCAAGTCAGTTACCCACGTCAGTCGAGAGGTCAAGACAAAAGCGGACAAGACAAACGAGACGAGACCATGTGCAGGCCTTTAACCCCCTCCCCCCCATCTCCCCCAGGCCGGAAGTCTCGCCAGACCGACTTTCTCTTCGGCAAACAGACCAAATCGCGACGCAAAATGGCGGCGGACGAGGTTGGGGTCGGGGGGGTGGGGGTGGGAGGGGGTGGGGTTGGTGCAGGCAGATGTTCGTCTGTTTGCACGCGAGAGTTCATGTGAAAATGGAATTGGGGATTGCGCCGTTTTCTGTTTCTGTTTTTTTTTGAGGGGTCACTGAGGGAAATTTGGGGAGTTCGATTTTTTTTCCTTTTTTTTTGAACAGCTGTTTGGTAAGGATTTTCGGATTTATTCTTTTTAATGTTTGTTAGCTTTTAGGATTTTAGGTTCAATATCAATTGCTGGAAAGTGTGTAGGGAGAAATGGAAAGAAGGGGAAATAGAGAGAGAGAGAGA